TACAATTATTTTTCCAGTTGATTAATTTGACAGCAATCATAAAAGAAGCCCGAAATAAGGAAGAAGAAGGAAGAAGATCCCGCCTTGCTGGATATCGTATAGGATACTGAAGTCATCAAGCAAGCTGTAGCTCTGGACAGAAGGCCAGTCTGACACAGAATTCTTTTCGTCCAATTGCTCGAGCTCCCCATACACACTAACTAACCACATACTAGCACCGAAGCACCGATGTATGTCACAACGTAGTGGGCATGCTATCGAACGGGAGTACTTCCACACAGGTCTACCCATTTTATACACGACTTAAAGCCGGGAGGGTTTGACTATTTGCAATCGATAGTCCTACTAAAGGTGTGTAAAGACCCCTGTCCCCCCATGGAAAAATTATTCCGAACATGCTTTTTCCGCGGCCATAAGTTCTGAACTGAAGCATTTTTAGGGGTGCCCGAGTAGCGAAATTTGACTTTATCTAATAGTATCAAGCGTTCTCATACTGCTAGCTGGAAAGAGCATACAAAGTTGCATATTTTGATAGCCGTTAGTAATTTGTCCAAGGTTATTCTATGACTCGGTGGCGCCGAGGTTCGAACACGGTACTTTTGAAGTACGTGCCGAACAACATAACCACTCAGCCATAGCGGCAAGCCTAATGAAATAAGCCTAATGATTTTGACTACCTCCTCTATTCGAAAGTGAATTGCAATTTACGACAGAAAATATCAGAAAAATGCAAAACTTTTATCAAACTCAAACCTTACAGATGGATAGGAGAGAAAGGGATCACACTCTGTATGCAATCTTCGTATACTTTTTTTTAATACTATCTAGGTTGAATGTTGGGTAATACTAGTGATGAGAGTTAAGCGTACGTATGAGTTTCGTCTTCAGATCGCATGGTTTTTGCTGACAATTGTTTTTGTTAGCAGCTAAAAGAGCATTTTTTTAAAGTTCATTTTTCCCACAAATGGATTGCAGATAACTCTTTTAAGCGACAACTTTCATCTTTTCTAAAACTAGCCGAAACAAAAGCATACTACCTACTATCTGTAAATTAAAAGAATGGTGTTCACTATTTTTTGAATACCTCAGCAACAGAAAGAACTAGAGACCTGCTGTTTTCAACGCTCGCTAGTCAAGACTCTAGAGTTTCCGAAATTATTTATTCCGAAATTCTCTTGAGTTATATAGTAGCCTAAACTGTCCTCTTCAAAATGTTAATTAAGCGAACTCCTAATTCTTTGTGGTTGCGAACTGGCATATGATTTCCTGAAAGGGTCAGAAGTAATACTCCCGAAGTAATACTCCCGGAGTATTACTTTTGAATGTCCAAAAGAAGCAGTGCTCATTCGATATTCTGCCAAAAATATCATTAGAAAGAAAAAGAAGCTAATTTTTCGCTATTATTCTTTTAAAATGTTTGATGGAGTTGCTGAGGAAACTGAGTGTAGAGAAAAAAATTAATGGCAAAAAATAGGACAACGTGAAGAAAGCTCACTTTAGTCTGAGCAGTGATGAAACGTTTTGTGCGAAAAAATGTGTTCGCATAATCGTGTGGCATTGGATAATATTCATATTAGTGTGACAGAAAGAAATAGTGTAATGAAATTACAAAGTGTTATACCTAATTATCAGCATCAACATTTAACAAATGTTTGTTCCGAATTTGTTTAATCGTATCTTGCTTCAGTAGTTTTAGTTTTTAATAATAAATGAAAGAGAACGGAGAGTTATGACAAGAAAAGTCGGAACAATATTTTTTTCGATATTCCAGAGTGAGTGTGGATGAAAGAAAGGGAACAAGTAAATTGCGAACGATTTCATTATATTTGATTTTGTATGAGATTCTAATTGAGATGATGTTCTTTACTGTATAGTTTAACAAGCAACCCCACTGCGAAGTAGTTTTGGAACTTCAGATTACGTACATTATTCAAGTTAATTTTTCTTATAGCAGATTATATTTGCTCTATATATATTTCATGTTGCAACATTCCCTCATTCAAAGAAATGGGGGCATCAACATCAGATATCTTAACTCTGGTAACAAAACATTTGAATATCTATATGAGTAGTCTGTTTTATATATTAGGCTTATTCGGTACGGTGTTCAATATAATTATTTTATGTAAAAGATCCTATCGAACAAATCCTTGCAGTTTATATCTAATATCATCGTCTATTGTCGATTTATTTTCATTACAAAATGTTATATTCATATCAATATTTCAACAAATTTAACATGGATTTCACTTCAATATCGACATTTACTTGTAAACTAAGAGGCTATTTCGGTTACATATTGATCATATTACCAATTAATTTTGTTATATTAGCATCAATAGAACTATTCAAAAACACTGTAGGGATAGTAATATAGTGAAGGGGTGAAAAATACTCCAAAAAACAAGAGAGGCGTTCAGAAACTTAGACAAGAAATCAAAAGCTTTTCAATTATTTTTGTAACTTCTGTATAGTGCTGCACGAAAGTGATACTTCTGTTCTGAGCGGTTGTAGACTATCAGCACAATCTTGTTCGGGACCTACACATCGTCTAGGGAAAAGTTTCAAAATGGGTTTATGAAATATCTCCTATATAAATTTAATAAAACGAGCGATCGAAGTTTTAGATGGGAGAAACCTCTTGAAAAGCGAAAATTTTACCTCTCCTCCTGGATCCCTTTCACACGTGACGAACTTTACAGCAAGTCATCGAAATGTTGTGTGTGGCACCCTAATGTAAAGCTTAGCAGATGACGTAGTTCCCTAAACAGAGGCTTATGTGGAAATCTAGTTCTCAAATAAAGGTGTGCAATGTTGGATTTGGCTTCCTGTAGAAACTTTGCAATTCAAACAACAGTGTTATTCCAAACATCCGAGAATATCAGGAGCTGAAACTGTAGAACTCTACAGACCAAGCAACGGTGTCATACTAAATATGTGCAATCCCGAAATCTTCAAAATTCTTAAAGTGCAGAGTTTCGAGAATTTTCAACTTTGACTGGAAAGTCATCATTATACTCCATCATGGTAATTTTTCTTGACCAAAATATTAAGCTTTTTATATTTCCCATCGTGAACTACATATTTGAAGCAGAGAAAAAAACGTTTTCGTTTTATTCTGCTAGTTTGTGTCTTCTCTCAATATAAGGCATGACCGTTCAATATGCTATAAAAGAAGCACCTGGCATCTTGTATAAGAGAAACACAATGATTGTGCTCTCTTCTTTTCTGCCTTTCGCTTACTATTTTTGTCAGTGGGAAAGCAAGATATAACATGAGTCGCTTATTTAAGGTTATAAGAAGACGTCTGTTTTAAACTTCTTGAATTAGAGCAATTCGCTATCCTGAAGTGTGTCTTATCAGTGTTCGTAAGTAGCCGTTTTTCTTAGTACTTTAACTTATACTTAGTTATGGAAGCGCTTACTTTTAGCGTTTCAATAATTTATTAGCTTAAGTCCACCCGTTCGCAGCGTTTAGACACGATGAACGTAAGAAGCCGTGATAAGATACTCAAAATTTTAAATTCTGAAATGGTTGCTCTTTTCAAATTCTGTATAGTGTAGAGTTTCGAGAATTTCAAACTTTGACTGGAAAGTCATCATTATACTCCATCTTGGTAATTTTTATTCATCAAAATATTAAGCTTTTTATATTTCCCATCGTGAACTACATGTTGACACAAGAATGTGGCCCATCCTTTAATCTTTTGGACCCTAAGGCTATTTCTGAAATATCTTTTCTGCACGGGAGGGTTAACATCTTTTGCATTTCTTAGCGCCGTCATGTAGTCAAGTAGTTACTGTATAGGGGCATGAAAAGAGATTTGGACATTATAACTTCCGAACATTAAAACCCGCTTTCCACCCCTAAAATTTTTTTTGTATCAAAACCTAACGTCATATTCGTGCTCAGTGTCAAAAACTGCGTCTGGTGCTGTGTCACTTGCAGTTCAGCAAAATTTTATTTACCCCCAAAAATAAATTGAAATATACGCACACATATATATATACATGAGCACATGAATTTCTGAGTTCCTGAGTTCGTAACTTCAGATATATGCACATATATATTTTTTTATTCCATAAAATACAGCATTCTTTCCAGATTGGGACAAGCAGTTTTTGTCTGGCTAAATTTCGGAAATAATTATAATTACTGAATATGAGTTTTAGGGTCGGGTGAGCAAGTTGGTAGGCAGGACCAATAAGAAGGATTTTAAAATATTGTATTTTACTGTAACTTGTATTGTACAGTTTTTTAATATAGTTTTTCACCAGCTCTTCAAGGATGATGGGATGAATTTTGAATTTTCCATGATGAAGGTTTATTACAGAAATATTTGTTTGATATAAGTTTTGTAATTTAGACTCTTTAAAGCAAAAAATGTCGATTCAATCAAACACTCATTTTCTACCATCCTCACAGATACTTTAAGTGCTCAATTTGACGCTTGAGAAAATTGTGTCCAGTTATGATTAAGTCGAATTCAATTTCTTTTCGATATTAAGCAAAACCTTTTTGACATGGCATATGTGTAGACATCCAGAACAGAATGTTCAATCGCGTGTTTTTGATAGATATCGCACTTATTCGAGTCGCCACTTAAAGTTGGATAGTGACTTTATTGACAATAGAGTAGAAGATTAGCAATTCACTTGATATGGACACAACATGGTAGATTCTAAATCAAATTCAACTCTTTTTCAAAAAGTGATTTTTTTTCATTTCGATACTCACAATTATTTTCCTCTCTTATTCTCGAACCATGTAAACATTCTAAGATCTTTACTCATTCAAAATTAATTGAGCAGACAATCATGAAAAAAATGATTAATGATCACGGGAATAATATGATTTAGTGAGTCAAAATGCCGCTACCATCCTTCAGTATTTTTCCTACTCCTAAGTGGCTTAACTAAATCCACTGTTGAATTTTTTAGGACCTAATTTTATTTTAACAACTCATTATCATTGAATTTTACCTAAAATGTTCTCTCGTCTTACAAACACCATACAGACATTTTATTCAATTCACATTTTATGTCAATATGTTTTATGACATTTTTCAATGAAGTAATTGCCAATAACTGTTCAGACCAATTATCAACAAATTTTTTTACTTTACGCTCATCAATATTAGCGTGATTTGGATAGGAAAATGAATATAATAATAAATTCTTATTTGAGATATGTTTATTGTCTATGTCAACACTAATTCGATAATTATTTAACGGAAGATTATCAAGATTTGGAAAAGATGAATAATAGAAAATAATTGGATATTTAAGCAAGTAACCAAAAACGGTTGTATGATTCAATTTCGAAATAATATCAGACCATTCATCATTCTGACTTGGATCAAAAAAATCTAATACTTTTGTTTTATATATAGAATTTATCCATAGTAAATGTTGTTTTAATTCATCAAAAACGGGATGTTCATTGTTATAATATGTTGTCATTGTAGTTAAATCAATTAATAAACGCGCAGAGTCAATTAACTTATCAATACTAGATAAATTTAAAATACAAATATCATTTATAGAATAATTTAATAAAATTGACTCGAAATTAAGATACGATTTTTCGCCTAATTCAATAATCAACTGTCTTAACTGAGTCATGTTAAATGGAAACAAATCAAATAAATAGCATGATTTCATGTTCAATTGTAAACACAGCAATTGAGAATAAAGTTCATTACAATAATGATGATAACGTTTGGGAATATGACGTCTCATTAGACATAACAATTCTTTATCCATCTAAACGAAGTAAATTGAAAATATATTGAGTTTAAAGTAGTAGTTTTAAATTGTTTCAACAATACTTTAGAAGAAAAAAAATCTCCTCTCATTATGTACATTCTGTTTAATTCAAAAAACAAACAAAAACTAGTATCACACTGTTTAAACCATCAACAAATATTTCAGAAAATATCACTTTTCTTCTGAAATAATAATACAATGAACAAAACAACTATTTAGAATCTTGAATTACGTTTTGATCGCCATGTTTTTGTAAAATGATTTTGATTTTTAATTTGACGATAAGCTTCACGTAAATGTTTTGGTTCAATTGGTGTCGTATGCTGATGATTACTATTATTACTATCATCGTCTGAATGTTCTTGTTGTTGTTGTTCTTCTTCTTTAACTTGAAGTGCTTTTTCAACAATTTCACCTACAAATACTTTGGCAATACCTGCCATAGCAATGACAACATTTTGAGATGGTACATTGCCCGTTAATGTTTGCATTAAACGTTTAATAGTTATTTTTGGAAATGCTGAACGACGATACATTTCATAACGATTCAATTGTTCATCGCTAAAATTTGATACTAATACTTGTAGTTTAATATTTTCTTCTTCATCATATTCTAAACGTCGACGTTTTAAATCTTCTCGTGACAATTGATTGTTTAATAATGAATCTTTATTAATACTTTCGTGCTGTTCTTTTTCTTGTTTACTGTTGTCGTTCTGTTGTTGTTGTTGTTGTTGTTTACTAGTTTCAATTTCTGTTTCTTTTTTCTCTGTTGTTGACGGTGGTGCATTATCACGATCAACGAATGGAGATTTATCATGTAAAAAATGATTATCATTTTGCTGTATAGATTGATCATTATCATTTGTGGACATATCGTTATTATTTTCACTTGTGGTCAATCCAAAATCATTATCATTTAATGGTGACGATGGATTAAAAAAACTTGAATCATGATCATTATTTAAAAAATGTTCCATGGATGAAAAATAAATAATAGAAAATTAAAGAAAATCTAAAATTTTTCAAATGTTTATCCAGTGAATTATAGTCTTATAATAATGCACTAAAGAATCCAAAACAAAAAGCGTAAACTGACAAAAAATTTCTTTTAAAATAATGTGGGTGAAAGTAACTATTCACTCGGCTATAACTATTCGGCATATGCACCAACAATAAACATGTATTAATAGTACTTATATGCTATTCTTAGTCAGATGCATAAACTCTGATAGAGTGATGTACCTTAAGATATGTTCAGATTTCCATCGGAATGAAAATGGATAAATAATGAAGTAGTTTTTATTACTCGAAATGAGAACATGACAAATAATCTATCAAATTAACAACAATGATCACGATTAAAATATGATACGTAAAAACTATTATGATAAACAATGTGGATAAAAACAATGCATCAATGACAATAAAACACACGTAGACAGAAAAGACATTATCGACTATATGTAAAATAAAATATTGTTAAATGATGTTTTGCATTATACAAGGATAATTTTCAAATAATAAAATACTTATTCTGAAGACGACATAAAGAACGACATTATGGTGCCAAACGTTCATATACCCAACCATTTAAACCACGATGAGTTACATGTGGATCAATTTTATTTTGATCATCATTACTTAATCGACGAAATTGGATTCGATCCGATAAACGATTACTTTGACCCTGGTAAAATTCAAACGTATGAGGAATAAGTAACCAACCACCCCTAAAAGTAGAAAACTTATATTCATCAGGAAATGAGAAGAATATAAACTATATAACCATCGTTTCGGCTTCTGAATAATATTTCCGGCTGCATTATCGGCAATACATTTTGCTCGTAGTTCAACGAGATGCTAAATCGAATAAAACACCAATGTTTTGAATGGTATTTTTTTCATAACACACTTACCTCCCGACTTGGTATTGGTTGACTTTGATCGCTAATTACTGCACTAATTTGTGAATCTGGCGGTCTTAAATTGAAATATTCTTCTGATTCGATATCACTTAATTTTTCTGTTCGTCCTTCAATACGAATCTATAATTATTTGAATGAATAGAAAAAGAAAAGAACATGAAGATGATAGAATATTTTTATATAATACTGACATACCGAACGTGACATCGACGGCCAATAAAAACACATTGCAGCAAATGGATTTTCTTCCTATGAAAAATCTGTGATAAACACTCGGATAGAATTAACTGAATGCCAAAAATTACCAATTCTTTCCCTTTTCTACTATCATAATTTGTAAAAAATTTGAAACCACTTTCATTAAATCCTTTCAATAACACATATCTGCATGATGGAAGACCATTTCTAAAAAATAAAATAGGTAAAATAAAAAATCATACAAGATTCGAGTATTTACTTTGTTGCTGTTGCTAAACAAACTGCATTTGCTTCTTCAGTAAATTGTAATGCTTGTTCAAACCAATCTTTAAACTGAGCAAATGGTTCAGTTGATACAAGATCTTTTAAATCGAAGTATTCTGTTGATTGTTTATAGGGTTTTCGCAAACCTGTTTCATTTAGACACCAATAGATATTTATGTACAAAAAATATTTTTTTCTACTTACTTGCAATGTCAATACTAGTTTTTACTAGTGGTGTAAAAATGCTTCCTGTTGGTGCATGAGTCATTCTTTTAAATATGGAAAATAAATTATAACGCATTCATATCATCTAGAACCAGAACTATCATAATTTCATATTGTTCAATAGAAAGACTACTTTGTACATGGTTTGTTTATGTCGAAAAACGAAACTATTTGTAGCAAAAAATATATAAAGCTATTAACAGTAATATTTGAACAGTTTCACAAAAAAAGTAACAAAGAACGAGAGTACAAGTGATTATGATAAATAAATCATTTCTTCTGATCAATTTTTTCAAGTATGATCAATCTAAAACAAATAAAATGCGTGTTAAGAAATTGATATCTTGAATTTGAAAAAAAACATATTTTATCTCATATAAAAACGTTTTCATTATAACTTCAGTTGTAGATAACTGAAAGTAGAAAAAGGATACGGTTTTAGTTGTTCGGCAAACGACCGCATTTCTTCTCCAAGTTTATCCTAAAAATAAAAAAGTATAAGAATAGAATAGTCATCTTTCTATAACGACATACCTCATGCATTGCTCCAATTAATGACATTTCAACAAAATGAGAAGTTGTAAATGGTCGAAGAATTTCTGATAAATTTTTCATATCATTTTCTAAACCGCCACGACAACGTTCGAGGCACTATAATGTAAAAAAACAACAGAAAATCAAATAAAGAAACATAATTTACTCTCTACTTGAAATATTTTTGCAACCATAATTTTTATTCTTCCTTTTCGAAATATCCATCCTTTGGCAACAAATTCATAATCGAATTGAAATCCCATTTCCGGTAAAAACGAATGTATCTCTCTTGTGACGCAACAATCATGATATTGTCGAACACTAACAGTATGAGCTTTGTCTAACTCAGCTTGTGCAACATAACGTAAATGTGTGGGTGCCAATTGATCATCAATTGCGTAGCGTACGCGAAACGATACGTTACTACTAGATGGAATTCGCATTGTATAAACAGTTTCATGATCATGAAAGGTTTCCACTTCACCAGTAATATTATCACATAGGCCTTGTAAACGTGCTTTTAACAAATCTGTTGATCCATCTAAGATACTACCTTGTAGAACATATTCCAAATACGGAGTTGTACGATTTTGTATTAAGAGCTGTGCTGCTGTTTCCATCTAAAACTAAATAAATTTTAGCCAGGGAAACAGATAAATAAAGCAAATCGGTTGTCAACACCAGGACTTTAAGTGTGTGAGAAAAGCTTCTATTTCTGATCCGTACTTTGTATATTTTTTTCTTTTTTTTTGAATCCTTTGTTGATTAAGTCTCTGGAGAGAAGTATTTTGTGTAGGAAAGATAGCGGCGTTCTATGGAACTCTTGTAATCTTGTACGTGGCCCGATACAAAGATTTGCGAGTGAGTTGCGAAGAGATCGAGCACTTTCGAATACATTGGGTTTTTTGCATTCATTTTCTCTCTTCTTTTATTCTTCACTGCTTACTCTCCTTTCATAGTCTATGATTTGTTTGAGGAATAAGCCAATGTTTATGTATTCATGGGCCTCCCATGTAAAACGATGCACCTTTAAAATAAAAGATGGCGCATTTTCTTGCAATGAACTAGGCACGAATTTCTGGCATATTGCGTTGCTATTTCGGATGTGCCAGTTTCATCAATCTTCTGTTTTATCAAGTTCACACGCGATGAGCTGATTTTTAAGATTTTCTCCTGATTTTCAATTGTTTTCCTGCATCGATTTTGTTTTTTTCAAAACTGAGATTATCCGTTTCATAAACAGAATTTCGGGATCAAGAGTCTAAATAATTGTACATTGAAAGAATTCACTGTATGCTTATTGAATGTTCTCATCACAAGAAGATGAGATTAGTGAACTTCCAAACCTATCGGATCAAAATCTTCTTCCTCAAACAGTACTGCAGTCTCTAACAAATGATAATACTGTTTCATCAAAAAGTATTTCAAAACTTTTTTTTGAAGTAAACTTTTTGAAAAAGTTATTGGATTTTTTTGTTTTGCTTGTCCAAGAAAAAACTGTCTAGTACTCTCCTGTCTCTCTCCTGATTTCGAAAACCTAGATTTAGGCACCCTGTTAAGGTTAACCACAGCCTCAACTCAACTTTTAATTTGTTTTAGTGTGTCGGTTTTCTACATTGACTTGAGTTTACTTGAAGATGTTCCAAATTAATGCTTAATTCAAGATCACGCCCCATGAGGTTATGACAAGAGCTGTCTAAAAATATTGATTGAATGAACTAGATGTCTTTTATTCTAATCAAAGCCCATCGGATCTCGGCGTACAAATTCTGCAGGATTTCCTCGGATTTTGCGCATAGACGATTTGTGTAATTCGATTCCATTCCACAAAATTTCGTCGGAACAGCAGCATTTAACTTCTTACTTTTTTCAGTTTGAAATGCATCAAACCACAGATACGGAAATGATGACAGTACCGAGATATTTGCATTCTACTCACCGTATGAAATTATCGTGGTTTATCGAAATTTTTTACCTGCTCAAAATGTTTAAAATCAGTAATTTACCAGTAGATTTTTTTCATCGATGAGAAGATATCAGTATTTTCCTTCAAAGGTAGAAGTTAAATCAGATTTCCTTCACACATATTTTGTATCAGAATTGTGAAAAACACAAATTTTAGATGAATATTGCGCTTATTTCTTCTTTTAAAACTGTTCATATACCACTAATAATAGACATAACATAGATTTCCAGCAAAAAATAATTAAATGATGCAAAACAGAAAAGAGCAGTAAAAGAACAGTTCTCTATCTCTAAGAAGAATTTTAACTAAGTAGTTACTCCCTTTCCTCTAGAGACAGTACTCTAATAAAAAAAAACTGAGAATTGCGATGAAATATGGAAATTTCAAAAGTCCGAATAATCAATAGAAAATTCCAAACGGCAGCAATTGAAAAAAATCAGTAGCTACAATCTGGTGATTCTGAGTATTTAAAATTAAAGGTTTTTTTGCATTATTGCTTTGGCGGAAATCAACGTTGAATAGTAAATAATTTCTCCTAGATAAGATAGTTTTGATTCAGAATCCAAAATTTATTATTTCAAAATGTTTCATACACAGAAGTTACTGTTATGCTAACTGCCTTTAGTATTGAATATTGCATTTTTCCTTTTACAGTAAATTGAATTGAAGTAAAATTACATTTTGTGAAAATATATTAATTTTCAAATAAAAACATACTGATATCATGGAACTGGTAGTTTTATGTGAAAAAGATTAGTTTTAGAAAATGCTTCTAACATACTCTTAACCCCATTATTATAGGCGGGCCTGCTTCCATTATTATAGTTAAGCTGAAGGTTTTATGGTAACACTTTATATTTTTAGAGGTCTGAGAATTTCGCTTGAATCGGTTGAAAAAAGATTTTTAGGGAGATTCTTAGTTATGTTGAATAGTTTTTTGCAACATTTGTTTTTGTTATTAATGAAAGTCAACATCAGTCTCGAACAGACAAAAACGACAGAAATTATCCGACTTTACGTAGGATAAGTTGGTTTGATATTCTAATATTTCTGACAAACATTCACTCATAAACGTGTGTCACTCACCAAAAAGGATGTTTTGCAAAAGCTGGTAGTTTCCCACAAAAACAAAATAACAAAATCAGTAATTCTGACAAACATTCTTCCAGGGACGTGTGCCATCTGCGAAAATCAATGAGCCATATACAGCTCAACGAGGTCTATCTAATGGTATGGTGAGTGCGAAAAAACAATCATATGTAGCATGAAAAATAGAGAGATACGGTTAGAATTAGTGTAGTACGCGCCATAATTCGCAAACATTCTCGCTGAAGCGTGCGGCAGAGACAAAAACTAATGACTTGGGTATATCTCGTTCAGCTGAATCTGAATATGGTCTCTGAATTGAAATCCCACGATGGGTTCAGTCAGGACCGTAGCCAGGGGGATTCGGGGACCGATCCCCCTTCGCAAAAATCCTGGCTACGGGCCTGGGTTCAGTCAAAAAAAGAAACGTATTTTTTTGCTCCTGTTAAGGAAAAGTACTATTCAGCCTGATATTCTCCCACAGACGTGTGGCACCTTCGAAAATGAGTGTATCATATAAAACTTCACGAGTTCTATTGATGCCCTAGTCGAGACTCCCGGCAAAACTCCAACGGGAGTCCCAAGTTTATGAAAACCTCCAGCAGGAATCGTAAGGAGCCCTGATGACTCTCGCAGGAACTTTTCAGAGTGAAAAGTCCAACATGGAGTCATGAGGAGTCCCAAAAAAATTCTTGCAGGAGTGCTGTCGAGAGTCCTGTTGGAGAAAGTCATGCATGGAGTCATGAGGAATTCAAAAAAAATTTCTGCAGGAGTCCTGTTGGAGGAAGTCATGCATGGACTCCTACAGAACTCCTGTGCAATCCCCGAGGAGTCCCTGCCAACTCCCCATTCACCGTTTGTTTTGCAGATAGGCAATATATAAATATAATGTAGTTCTATGATAAAATTTTAAAAATTTTCTTCTAGTAAGTCAACATTAATGTGTCAACCTTCGATGGGTGATATGTGCTCCAGCGGTACCAGTGATAGTATCTGGCACTTAATTACTAATTAGTTACATGAAATTAAGAAGATGCATCAATAGACCCAGAGGGAGTCCCCAAGGACTCTCTTGAAAATCCCCGAGAACTCCCCAGGGACTCCCTTAAGAATCCCATAGAACTCCTGTGAGAGTCTTGAGGAATCCCTCTTGAATCCCTTAAAAATCCTCCATGACTCCACAGAGGATCCTGCCGGGGTCCCGTGACAGGACTCCTGCTGACTCCTGTAGGACTTTTTTTCCAGGACTCCTGCGGGACATTAATCAGGAGTCTCGACTAGGGAACCATGATTTCCTAGTACAAGGTCTTAGGTTCACGAGCTTAAGCATAGACTTAAGTGAATGTTTAGTTTACTTTAGTGTGTCGTTACTTAGGATTGACTTAAGGCACCTATAGAGTTATCTTGATTTAATACTTAAACAATAGTTTCAAGATCACTTTCAATGGATTAAGACACCCTAGTGAATGTGCAAAAATCAGGTACTTATTTGGTACCCTGCTATAGTAATGTCATAAGTACTTGGCTTTCACAAGCAAAAGTATTTCGATACCTTCTAAGTCTTTTTTTAGGTACCTCTGCTAGTCTCAGCCAACTATTAAAGTATGTAACACGTAATCTTAGGTACCCATTCAAGTAATGTCATAGGTACTTAGACATACTTGGCTTGCGGCAGCCAAAGTTCTTAGGTACCTGAATTCAAGTATATTGAGTAGAGCAAACTTACTTCAAACAAGAAAATGTGTAAGTCCACGCGTACAATTTTCGATGAAACACAAAAAGATTTAATTTCAACCGTTGACTATGATTAGGTCAACACGTAAGTGCTCAGTTAAGTTTAGGAGCTACTTATGAAACAATCTCTCTGATAATAAATAATGTTGAATCTGATAAGTGAGTGTACGTTGAAAGTGGCGCTATGAATAATGACACATAAAATCAATAGTAAAGATGTATTTTCCGAAGTTTTCTACACTGCTTTTTCTGCCTAGGTAAAATGATACTGATTCTAGTATCTATAATAAATCAATACATCAAAATATCAATGTCAAAATTTTATAATTTTTATATGTTGAGACCAACTCATATAACCAGATAGGTTATTAAGAACAATGTTTCCAACTGCCAATTGAATTCATCATGTCTCAGCCGCCGTTATCATTCATATCAGATCATTTTATATACTCCGAAGAATATCTGTAGTTAGCATTCTTAGTGAATTGAGTGTACCAGCGTCAAAGTTGTACAACATAGATCTTTCCATAATGTTTCAGTGTTGTCACCACATCGTTGAACTACTTAAAATAGCTGTTTCGTTTTAGATAATGGTTGCTCTATCAAAAAAGTCTAGTGAAGAAAAATTGAACATATGCCGAAAGTATTATTTAGGTATGCTTTTTTGAGAAGATAAACGGCAGTTAACCTGTAACTCGTATTTATTTTCATTTTAGGTGGATTTGCTTTGTTGCCGTTGCTTTGGCTAATTAATGCTATATGGTTTTACAAGGAAGCATTTCGAGCTGAACCCTACGCTCAACAACCTCAGATTCGCAAATGTAAGACAACAAAAAAGATTTTTAGTCTAATTAACTATGGCTTCATTTTTCAATATAGTGCAAGTGTTAATATAGTTACTAGTCACACATTGCATCATGTAGACATGTACATATATTGTAACATTTCACTTTGTTGTTCTACTAAAGAAAGATATAGAATAATTCTGACCATTCTATTGTCATAATAATAAATTTTTTTGTAGATGTAATACGAAGTGCAATTGGAGCCGTCGTTTGGGTGGTTATAATCGTTATTTGGAATATTATTTTTCAAGTTTATCGTACAAGCATGGGCGCAATTGGAGACCAGCTCACATTTGTTGCACCTAGGGGCTTTTATTAAATATAATACTTGTATATCTATTCTCTTCGTTTCGTTTTGTACGATTTTCATTTTCGATGTTTAATATATGTAAATTTTGTGTTTCTATGACGTATTCTTCTCGTTAAAAATGATTTATAATGATCAGATCAAAAATGATGTTTATTTGTTTTTTACTATTTTCTTGTTCATTTCATATTACATGTTTCGACCTTTTGATTTCATTTCAAATGTCTACACGCGTTTCTTTAAGTTTATCATGAAAGAAGTGTTTTTTGTTCTTACTTTAGTGGCAACGTATTTCGTCTGCTTTTAACAATCAATACATTAATTAGAATACGCGATCACTAATTTTAGCCTCTGTATGTTCGGAAGTTTAATGCATGTTTATCAGGTCTTACATTCTGTTGTAAGTGCCTTCAAACTGTTTAATTCTTTCATTTTAGATTTTTTTGATGAATATTATTGTTTTTGATAAAACATGGTGTGTTAATACAGTTTAGTCATTATTTAGAAAAAGTAGTTACTTTTGTATTTTTTAGAGCACCGCAGTCGTAATTGGAATAGGTCTAGCTGTGATTGGTTTTACAGGTGTTTGTTGTTTTTTTCTCTATTTGTTTTCAAATTATTGGTTTTTTTCTTTAAGGACGTTACATTGCAAGGCATGGCAAAGTCATCGGAGAGAATTTAACAAAAACGAGTGGTATTATAGCTGATGGAATTGCGGTAAGTGTTAATTCGTCGATTTATAAATAACTAAATCATTTTCCATTTCTTCTTAGTCGAAGTATTATAAAGGTGGTTTTGATCCTAAAATGAATCGACGCGAAGCGGCTTTGATTCTTGGAGTGAGGTGAGAAAAAACACCCTGGTGTTAGTTTATTTTTATTGTGCACGTATATATGTTTGATTAAATAGTCCCACCGCAAACAAATCAAGAGTACGTGATGCTTACAAAAGACTGATAGTGTTAAATCATCCAGATCGAGGTAATCCTACCTAAATTTATGACATTATAGATTTAATCTGAATTAAATTCGCTATTGTAGGTGGAAGTCCGTACATTGCTGCCAAAATTAATGAGGCAAAAGATATGTTGGACAATACAAAATAGTCAGTTTAGTATAATAGTTATCAATCTCGTTTCTGTTTCTCTTCTACAGTATCTTGATTTTTGGACGAAACGGAGCAGATTTTTGTGTGTGTTTTTATTGTTTAACACTTTTTTGTTTATTTTTATAATAAAATACTATGTTTCTCCCTGTACATGTCGTTATGCGATCAAATAACAAGATGTTCGCTGTGAAAGTGTTTTGTTCTTCAACTGCATAGAAGTCCAAGAGAAATGACAGCATTTCACCAACTTTGAAAGAGGGTAGAGCTAATTTAGAGCACATCTGATCAGATTAATTAGTTCTTTTTAGTATAACTTTATTTTTATTAATTTATTTTAAGTCATGATTAATGCCTGTGTATCGTACATTCTTATTTTTACAGATCATGTTCAATTTCTCGCACGAATTTCGCTGTTAAATTTTGTAGCAATGTTGTCCATTTTCTCAAATGTTCTTCGATATTAATCAAACCGTGTGGTATCCAATAAATGTGTACTTGACCTGAAACATTAAAGTCGATTGTCTGCTTTTCTTCACTATTTCTGTCTTTTGTGATAGTTTGTGTTTTCATATTATCTGGTACCATAATTCGAGCATCAAATGTCGATCGTATTATTTTATCTTTTTCATGTCCAGATGATGTTGGAGAAGAATTTGGTCGCTCCATAGCACCAGGTTTAATACTGATGTTAATTGCACTATTACTACTCGATGATGATTGCATTGAATGAATATCCGTATTTAATATTTGATTTTGACGAGAAAGAATTTCTTTTTCATTTGAACGACGCTGAGTGCTCGTGGGTGTGCCAGTTGGAATCGATTTAGTCAAAAGAGTTGTCGATTGGTTCGGTGATGGAGAAAGAGTAGTGGGAGAAGACTGTCTTACCGAAGCTTTTGTAGTATGTTGTCCGTGAGATTGATGATGGTGATAGTCTGGCAGAATAGATGGTTTTGGTCTTCGATGATGCATCCAAAATGATGTATTCGGTTTTGTACAAGGACGATATTTACTGTATTGATTGAATCCTCGTTTTTCTGAAGAATCATGTGATTTCGGTGTATGGTGATGACAATGGGGATAATGTCTGCCATCTTCATGAGAAAACGCTTTTGTGTGAGATGATTCAGATTCTGAATGATCAGATCGTGTTGATGTGGTTGTGTGATTTTTTATTTTTTCTATTTCAATCTTATCTGAATAACCGTTGAATTTTCCATCTATTCGACTACTATTTTCAATATCGAGTGATGGTCGGGTATGCATTGATTTCTGACTATGTCTCAATCTATGATAATCTTCATCAATTGACTTTAAGACGCTACATAATTGTCTTAGCTTATTAAGACCACATTTTTCTTTCAAACTGTTCAATAGTGTTCGACAGTTATCTTCAACTATTGACTCATCATTGTTGTTCATATCACTGTGCATTTGTAGAGTATTTTTGATTTCTTTTTCATCGTTATCATAGTGTCGAATTAATCTTTCATTATTATTAGTAACAGAATTATTAAAAGTATAGAAAAAAGGTGTTTCTGCTAACATAGTACTGGAATCATTGTCATCATCATTTTCCGAAAGAATCGGTTTGATATAAGTACTCGAAGACAATTGCTTATCGTCAAAGAGCTGTCGATGTTCGAATGCTGGAGATATTGATGAAATCGAATTTTTTGTCGATTCTAATCTATGTGAACTACCATAACGTGGTTGAGAACTGATTTGTTCAGTTACAGGCGTTAATATTCTCGACATACTACAAGCTCGTGATCTGTTCCACATGTTCTCTTTCTTAGAATAAAAGTTTGTTTTAATTATTGTTTTTTTAACGAAGATAGAAAATCAGACAACAGAAAAAATTATTTATCGATACCGAAATATTGTTTTTTTTTTTGCTTTTTACTATATCATTTAGATATCTACCCTTTTACGGTCATGTGCATTTATAGCTGATACACAGTTGCTGTGTTCAATTATCTCCATGAGAAGTAACTATGTTGAAATAATGGAAAAAGAACTATTGCAGAATTTAGAGTAAGAGTCGGCCCAAAATATTTCTTTTTTGTTTTTGTCTTAAAAGAAAAGAAATAAGATAATGTTTCAAATGTCTCATATTGATTTGATTTTAATTATGTACATTTGTCTTCTTCAATTTCCATTTAATATTTGTTAAATGTGTTATACACAAAAATACTTGTAAATTGAGGGGAGAAAAGTAGAATTAACAAATTTTATGGAACTAATTTTTGTCTTAAATCTTTTGAATTAAAACTTTTCCGAAACATTCGGCTCTTAGTATTGAAGTACCATTGAAGTCCAGCTATAAAAGAACGGAGTTGTAAGTTTATCTCAATCATTCAGTTGTCAGTATGCAGCCGTTGTATTTAATTTTTTTTTTTCTTATCGTTCGATTTTTTTTCTTTGCTCTTCTTTTTCTGACTCATCTTCGCTGGATAAAGGATGTGAAATGATGGTGCCGTCTATGAAAAAAAAAAAAATCTCTCTACATTTTCTTCCGCCCATCGAGTTCTAATAATTTTATGTCCATAAATCTGAAACTATGTTATCTTTTCTACGTGTTTTTTTCACATACAGAATTGTCAATTCTTCGTTCTTTTTTTTTTTTTGCATATGGTACTGTATATACATTGAAAATAAATTGTGCAGGTATAGAATTATTTTGTTCATAATTGTAAGAGATTAGTTCAATTATTCTTTTGACTTTTATTAAAAGTGCATCTATAATGAACGTTGGAAATATTCATTACTACGCAAGAGTAATTTATTGTTGTTGTAATTAAGGTTCAACTTTAAATGAGACAAAAAGTAGAACTCATTTTTCTTTTTCTTGACATGATATCAAAAGATTGATCGTTTCCAGATAGATTCTAATATTAGTATAAATTTAAGTTTGCGAAAGTCTTGGCAAGAAAAAATATTCGACAATTGGACCAAAGAACCAAAATATTTTTCTGTAAATAACGTGACGAACGATGTAATCTCTAGTGAATATACTTCAGACTAAGTACTTAGTTTCTTATAACTTTTACAAAAATAAAACTTGATTAATCACTTGTCAAGCATTTCTAGATTTATGACATACCAAGTATTTGAAAGAACTTTGGATACTTACATACATTTCGCCAAGTACTTATAAAGTACCTGTGTTTGTTAAACTATTTGATAAGTATATTTTTATCTTGCAAAAAAAACTCCAGATACTTTGGGCATTATTTCCCCAAGCATTTCTAGAAACTTATGAACTTTGGACAAAAATATATTTACTAGGATATATTCCAAAATTTTATAACGCTTTTAGTAAATCAAACAACTTTCTCTAGAATCGGAGAAAATTGTGTAATAAAAAATAGAATTGTGTTTGAAAATGGATAAAGATTTTTGTTCATTTATTCAAGACATGTATAGTCAAATTGTGCTAAGACTAACTCTATTTCATCTGAAAACAGAAATATCATTTTATTTTACAAATATTTATCTAGTTGATAAGTACTGAATCAATGGTGCTTCATATAACAGATATAAAGATTACTTATTCTTCTTTTATCACATGTTCATGTTCAATAAGTACATGTGATTTATCTCTAGTTTTGTTATCTCTACCTTATGAGGCCAAAATAAAACATACATCATCTATATTCATTTTCCTCTTTCGTGTGTTTAGTAAGTTCTCACAATGGAATATGTATATAATTAAAAATAGAAATCAATGTTTTTTTCTATTTCGTTTTTTCTTTTTTTCTTTTTTGAACCTTGAGCAATGCGTATAATTTTAACGATTTCCTATGCATGTTATACTCGTTTTTCATTGTTCTTTTTCTTTACTGTAGTAATACGGGAAATATATATATATATACATGTCAAAGTGATGTGTATTATATAAATATAAAGAGAAAATGTTTACTTGATAGAAAGACAAACTAAATTTATTTGACTTAGTCTCATTGCCTTGAACTACGTAGGTAAGTATCCAACCCTTAATGTATTATTGCAATCTGAGATTATAAAATTGTTTAATGTTATATATAAGAGTTGTTGTCTTGCTATTGATAAACTTAATAATAGACGTTTTTCAGTAGCAAAAATGTGAATACATTTCGTTAAATAAATGTAATTTTAGAATATCTAAAGAGCTTAACGGTAGGAATTTTTAAAATCCAACTTGAGTTGCTCTCCCATTAGCTTAGCTATATAACGGAAGACAGTAGAAAAGTATTTAAAACTTGCATTTCATGTATATAAGTCGTATTAATGTTAATTTTTGTTTTTTTCTTGTGTACATTCTCCAATCACGTAAAAAATGATAAAGAAAGAAGAAAAAAAAAAACATTTTCTACTTGTTTTACATTGTTGTTGTTTTTTTATTTTAATCATTGTATATCTGTCTAGTTATTTCTATTCAAATAATTATCTTTGATTTCAACCAAGTACTATTAAATTCTCATTCGTATAGATAAAACGATATGTATGTGAAAAAAACTAGAGGAAATATGACAGATGTGCAGGGCTGTAAATACGAGGGGCAGATATATGTACCCTTTATAAATGAGAAAAAGGTTTTTTTCACGGTTGAAAGCCTTTAAAATTTCAGTTTATTAATCATTTAAAAGCATAGAAAATTGAATTTCATGCTATTTCTACCAGAAAATTTTTTTGCACTCTCTAAACAACAAAAAAATGCGTGTACATGTGAATGGATATATTGGTTAAGATTAGCTAACAAATTTTAAAAAGAAGAGTTATTATATATATATATTTTTTTTTTTTGAAGACAAAATTGTAAGTTTAAGATGTGTATGTTATTTTTTTAGACAAAATAAAATATGGCTCGCGTACAACCTGATGCACAATTTAAAATTTTACTTATTGGTGATTCGGGTGTTGGAAAAACATGTTTGATGTTTCGATTTGCTGGTACGTTTGATTCTCTATTTTTGAGTATTAAATAGAAGTAGAATGTTTTTATTTAGATAATATGTTTGCTGAAACATTCACACCTACGATTGGCATTGATTTTAAAATAAAAACTGTTCGTGTTAGAGATAAAACCATCAAATTACAACTATGGGATACGGTACATTTTCTAAAAGAAATTTATTTTTAATTTTATATTTATTTCATTTTATTTTTAGGCTGGTCAAGAAAAATTCTATAATATCACTCGTTCGTATTATCGAAATGCCGATGCTATTCTACTAGTTTATGATCGCACAGAAGCAGTAACATTTCAAAATATAGCAAGATGGATGAGAAATATTGATGAAAATGTATCTTATCCAGACGATGTTATACGCATTCTTGTTGGTAATAAATCTGATTTACAAAATCGTCTATTAATAACATCAAATGAAGGAAAAGCATTAGCCGATAAATATCATGTAGATTTTTTTGAAACTAGTGCAAAAAGTGAATCGAGTCCAAATGTAAATAAAATGTTTTATTATTTAACAGAAAAATTACTCGATCGACGAACTAATGAATCATCAAATTTAAATGAACAATCAGATTTAACTGAACGAACATCGTCAATAAATATTGGCACATTAGCGTATAGACAACTAGTAGGTAATACATGTTGTTCAACAAGGACGAATGATAATTAATCAATACATTTATGTTTTTCTTTTTGTTACTGCAATTGGCTTTCTTGTTGTTGCCGTATTTTCCATTTCAATATTTTATATATATATATATATATATTTTCTTTTTTAATTTTATTTGTGTATGTTCTTTCAGAAAGTTATATACACATTTGTATGTACGCGAATAATTATTGGATACATATGCAGAATGTACTTTTCATAAGATACTTTGATCATTTTTTGTCATAACTATATAAGAATTAGCAACTCTCCATTTTTACGATTATTTACCTTATTTAATTTTCGATTCCTCTTTGATCATTTGATTTTTTATCTGATAGGATAGTATCTCTGAATGAAATGAACAGATGTAAGTATTTTACTTCAAAAACGACTCTCATCTAGATTTTTCACACAAATCCCATTTTTCTTTTTCAATCTTTTGGAATTTACTATTTTTTTTCAAATCACTCTTTAGAAAAATAATTGTATAATGAAATCTGATAAGTGGCATAAAAAGTTCAAATATTGAGTGATTTCAAACGGTTTTTGAGCAATAGTATAAGATCCATGTATGTGCACTAATGTTTTTTTATATTTAATATAATTCATTTCTTTATGAAAAAATGTATAGGAAGAATAAGTATTCAATGTGAAACTCAACAACTTTTTTTCTTTAAAATTACAAATTTTCCTAAATTGAACAATATACGTCAGACAAATATACAGATAAAAAAATATCTGACCGACCCACCATCGTTTTTAAATTCTATTGCATTCTATATAAAGTCTATGTCTTACATTGGATAATTCAACATAACATCTTGTCTTGCCAATTCTAACAACATCGGATCATCAAAGAATTTGTTAATACTAACATCTTCGCTTAATCCCTAAATAAAATATAAATTTCGAGATGATAAGTCAAATAATGATGTGGACTCTGAAATTAGCAAGCGTCTTTCGATATTTTACGAGCAGCAGTTTATTCAGAAAGCTTTTGTACGTTTTCAATTGCACAATGCCTATCGAAATTATGTAGTTTATATGTGATGTCTAAAGAAAACAATCATATCATGCTTACCTTTCTACGACGTGTTTTGATCATAAACTCGCGAGCTAAATGATTTACAGGTTGTGGTTCAAGTGGACGAATAACGATACTTTTATCAAGCGGATCACCTGGCACAATCTAAACAACAAGAGAATATAACATTTCTTTTTCTCTACTTAAAATATTACAAAATTCAATCTTACCTGCCAATGATGAAACACCGACATACAAAATGCTTGTCCTTGCGTATGAGTTCGAAGATCGGTTTCAAAACCGAATGAATCGATAGCAGGTATGAATGCTTTCAATGTATACAACTAGAATAGAAGTAGAAACTAGTATAGCATGAAAATATACATGAAAAAAAGAAATAAAAATACTTACTGGCGAACCGGGAACGGGAGCGTCGAGAGTTACATGCCCTCTAAAAAAGAATATCAAATTTGAAAATGTGAGAAAAATAACCTTTAGATCTCAGCTTTACCTTCTTCTGCCGAGAACAGTATAAACGGCTGACACGCAATCAGCAGGTGCAATTACTTCTACAAAGCAATACGGTTCCATTAACCTAGGTGTTGCCTAAATCCGTAAAAGATATTTATAAGTCGATGTGAATCGAATATAAAGCAGAAAGTGTAACATACAAGTAAGAATGAAGAATATGCCACACGACGTGCTGTTGGTATTAGTTGACCTCGTCCATGATGAATTGGTTCCTGGGCAATCGATGCATCCAAAATTTTAAACTTAACGTTACGAATAGCTAAGACAAAACAATATGAAATAAGTTCATTGAAATTGAACACTATATAAAAACTTACGTTCATCGCATAGTGGACCCTCACGTGTTGCCCATTGAAAACCTTGTACAATTGATTCTTTAACCGGTTCAGATGTCAACAAGGCTTTGTTAACTTCCAATGGCAACGTATCATCAACTAAAATATTTGGGCCATTTAAATCTGGTCCAAAAGCCCATATAGAACGTGCAGCTAATAAATCCCATTCGTAACGATTTTGGAAAAATTCACCGAGACGTTTTTTATTCCAATTTATTTGGACAGCTTCATTTTCAATATCTTCTGCTAAACCCTTTTCGAGCGGCTCAGCAATCATTGTCAATTTATTCCTATAAACGCAGAATGATGAGAAAATTTCAATAAAAAATTAAAAATAAAACATACTTTTTATTTGGTGTTTCAGCAAAACATTTTAATGACGATGTTTCAACAACTGTTTCACAGAACGTCACAACCGGATCAGCTACTTTAATTTCTAAACAAAAGAAAAAATTATTCAAATATAGGTTATTATGAGGTTCGAAGAGGAATCGTACCGATTTCAGAATACATTCGACGTAAATCATGCATTACACAATCAAGATAAAGTTCACCGGTACCAAGTATTATGTGTTCTCCAGATTCTTCCACCTAAACAAATGAATAAGTTAAGATTTATCTTTTAAAAATTATTTCATTTTCAAAAATTGAACATACTTTTGTTCCTAATAATGGATAGCTTTTATTCACTTTTCTTAAACCGTCCAACATTTTTGGCAACTCAGATGGATTTACGGGCTCAACAGCTATTTTAATCACCGAACTGGTATTAAATTTCAATGCACGAAAAATTTGCACCTGTAAATCAACAAAAATTTGTTTATCTAGCTGTGATCCGATAGATTATCTTCTTACGTCATCAATATCTGTTACATTCGGTCGTTTACCGCCAAATTTCGTATTTTCAACAATTGTCGATGTTTTGACTATGGATTGATCAATTCCTTCGATTAATACCCAATTTCCAGCTGGTATTCGACTCAGTTCAATACGATATCTTTGAATAAACAATAGACGGTAATTTAGACTGAATACTATCAGTAACATGTAGATGCTATGCAAATTAAAGAAGGCAGTATTCCTCTCTTACCTAGCATTAAATATCCATAATCTTCCAACAGTACACGTAAAGGAATCTTCTTGATCTTTTAAACTATAATTTTCACCCAATATACGAACTTCTTGTCCAGATTTTAATGTGCCAGAAAATATGCGTCCAAGAACATGAAAACTCGTTGCATCGGATGTCGAATAATTTTTTGTTGTATGAAGAACTAACGGTGCCTGTAAGAAAATCAATCTCAATATTTGATGTTATTATGGGATTCCATACAAAGCTTACATCTGGATTGCAGTTACACATATCTTGTACAATGTCTTCTTGCATACTTCCAGTATATGTATGTTCAACTTTATTTCGTGCATTTGCCACTGGTGATGGTACATGTTCAACGATCATATCAGTAAATCCTATAAAGAATCAAATATTAGCTTTTATATCTAAATAAAACCCCGTTTATTCTTATTTTTACCTTTAAATTCACCAAAAAATCTTGCACACACAAGTCTTAATAATTGACGAATATTTAATTTTAATTCAGTTTTTGTTAAACGAATACCCAGTTCATCTAATAAACCGGGTAGTGTGTTATCAACATCACCAACAACCTAAAATAAGATAAAAATTTTCATGTATTTATTTCTCTCCAGATCAAACTATCTTACATGTGCAAGAATTTTGTACATTGGTTCTAGTATAAATTGAACGAACGATCTTGACGAATTTGGCGATGCTGCTTTTTTCCCAAACGTCCGGCTAGAAAATACGCAGATTCTATATATATAATGTATAAGAGAAGAGTATAAAACGAAAAAATACGTACATCTTTGGATTATAATACATATCACCCCAAAAACGTTTTGCTAAAGCGATGTAATCGAATGAATTGCCTGAAATGAACACAATTATCAAGTAATTTAACTAAAAATAGCACATACAATGACGAATAAGATCATCGTATAGAGGAAATTTGAAGAACTCACGCAGAAAAATGTTCAGTGCTAATTTATAATTATTACAGGTAAACTCTATTAGGACGAACTGTTAATTTATTGCACGACTGTGTCTGATAAAATTTTGTCGTTATAATGTATCACTACTATACTGTTTTTCTTCTCAAAGTTTAGTGAAAACTGACTCCACTAAAAATCTCAGTAGATTCCACAAATTTTCCTGACACAGTTATTAAAATAAACTTACCGTGTGTATCCGCATAAATTTTGGCAAAAGATTTCAATGTAAAACAGAAACGATAATAAGAACTTGCAAAACACACATTGTTTAACAATGGAGAAACATATGGCGCTTTTGTTTCATCTTCAGAATATGTTCTATTAAAAAAAAATCACAAAACAAATAAATTTATTTAATATGAGCTTTGTTATCTTCAAGCTTTATATACTTGATTAAACCATTTATTTCATCGATGATATGCTTTATTTTGTAATAAGCGTCCTGTGGTGGTAATTTTAATTCCAAGACCAAACGATCGATTTTATTAATACATAATGTAATAGCTAAACGTTCTTGTAGAGCATGTTTTATTAGACGATCAGTGTTGAGCATAACCTTTGAAAAACAAAATTTGGATAGATCGTTGGTAATAGATTTGTATACAAAGACAAAAATTTAAAAGATGTCTTACTCCTTCATGTGCATCGACAAACAAAACTATACCATCAGAAATACGAAATGCGGCTGTAACTTCATCTGAAAAGTTTACATGACCTAAATAAAAGAAAATCAATGTGAAATATGTAAAGAGCGATACTTGAAACACGTTTCATTTAGCAACATTTCACTTCAAAAAAAATGTTTACCTGGTGTATCCATAATATTCAACAAAAAATTTTTGTCTTTTAAATCTGGTAATAAAATTGTAAACGGTGTCGATTTAATGGAAACACCTCGTTCTTGTTCAGTAAATAATGTATCAGTATATCTTAACTAAATGAAAGAAGGAAACACATAAATAAACAGTAAAAAGAGGACGACGAAAATTACTTCTTTATTTTCTGTTGACGATAAATAAGGATGTGTTTGTTCGATAAGCGAGTCACAAAATGTTGTCTACAAGAATAAAGAAAAATATTCTCTGTAACAACAAAATCATAAAAGTGCAATGTTTACCTTTCCATGATGTAAATGACCGCATACAGCAACATTTCGAACAAGTTCTGGACAATCCACTGAAAAAACAAAAGTCAGAATTATGTCACATTACGTTGGAAAAAATTGAGAAAACGTACTTAAATCAGCCAGATACCTAAAAGATCATAGAGAGGAACAATAAATTTTTATCATCCGTTCAAAACTAAAAACACTCACTCAAGTTCATATGTTGTTTCTGGTATTTCTTGTTCGACAAACGAGAATTTTGCTTTTTTTACAGGTGCAATAATCGGTTCAGTCAGTGCTTGTGTATCTTCCTCTTGTACAACAGTCTAAAATTGAAATGTAAGTAATTGGGCTATAAGTAGAAAATATGGAAATATTATTGACTTACTTCAACGTCCGGACCATATATTTCTTCGGCGCTTGGATAATATTTTTTATCTTCATGCAGAACAATCGCTGTAGACGACGCTGATTCAGAAATATCAATGGGTTCATCAGCAGGTTCATCTTCCTAAAATAGAAATTTTTGAATGTGACGTAATTTCAGTTTTAAACATAAAATTTCTCATAACTACCATATCACTAGTTTGATCAACTCCAACGAGTTCTTGTCTATAGCCACTTTCTTCTTCTTCATCCTCGTCCGATTCAAGTTCGGGACCGACATAATTTCCAAATTCATCATAAAGATCCGCTTGATCCATTATTAGCAAAACTCTAGAATCTCAATTAAATAAAAAATGTCATGTGTATTCCAAGACAAATTCTTTACTACAAAAAAAAAAACAGAGAATTTTCTAAAACTAAAGGGGAGCGCTCTTTCATCAACACATCCTTCGTCTTAGCTATAGGTCCTAAACTAGTCGATTTGCGTTCTTGTTGTTCGAAGTCATTCTCTTTTAAAGAGCTGACTCTTGAATTAAGACTGCAAGAGATCAGGTTTAAACGATTTCCTCTTTGGTGAACACAAACTTTCCTTGATTTTAGTTTAGGGTCTTACGAAAAGAGTTTTCTGTCTGCCTGCTAGGAAAACACGGAAAAATGGTTATAGGTATTTTATGGATCATTCTCGAACAAGCCAAGAATTGTTACAGTACATGTGAGAGCATATGAGATAGAACAATCAGAGTGAATGAAATAAAATGAACAACACTCTGAGATAAAAATAACCTAAGCATATTTTCTTTTCTAAAGATGGGGCTAGTGACCGATATCTTTTGAGCAAGAACATATAATATAACTTAAGACAATGAAAGTGCCTTATGTATGTGTAATCGAGCATAGTGAGTTTAGCAGAGCTAGTTCTAGAGGAATTTCTGAGGTAAAGCGACGTAAATATTGGCACCTCTTTTGTAAGAGAGCCTTTTCTGTAACAGAAAATAATACATAGATCTTTTAGTGACAGTAAGCTTCAAGGTCTATGTGCGTTGCTGCAGGCAATGTGAAAATGCAAGCAACCTCGTTAAATCCATGTTGCGAACACGAAGAGGTACGATCAACGTCTATGATACCTGAGGGATGACTAAGATCTCTCCAGAAAACTTCTGAGTTTTCAACCAATTTCTAAATCGACCTAAGTGCGAAATCATGAGTGGTCATAGTAAACGACACTTGGGGATCTCTGCAAGGCCTTCAGAAAACGTTTTGAGTACTCTACAAAAGCAGATAAAAGCAACGACGATAAAGGAAACCTTTCTGTTGATATAAACTCGTACACGTTCACTAAATGCATGCTGCGAGCGCTAAGGGAAGGTAGGCACGACCGCATTTACTAGCAATGAGCATGCATTTGCTCACGCAATGAGCGACCACTACATGCAGCGCGACTAAAGTCCAGGGTCAAGCAAATTGCAGACGAGTGTTATCTAGCGGTATGATCAATACAAAAGAAAGAGTGTATATAAACAGAGAGCTCGAAAGAAAGTTTCTTCTGTTTCATGACTCATTTTCACTGCACAGTGAAATAATAAAAATAGATTTGATCAAATCAAGATATGCGTATAATATTCTCAATAATGTAGCGGTATCTATGCTTAAAGTAAAATGGATTACTTATGCTAGCGCTATCCCGTGTCGTCTGCTTTTATTGAAGATACACAACCAGCCTCTGTTGATCAGAAAACTGGTAATTAAACAGGATCGAAGTGAAATGAGTCTAGGGAATTTAATCGAGAAATCTTTCGACGAAGATGGTATAATACATTCTTCATATGCTATTGTTTTCAATCAAATTTTGTCAAAATAAAGAAGTTTTGGCGAGAAGAAATTTTGATGAACAGCGCCATTGAATGGTGGAACCTTTCACCATCTCTGACAGTGGCTAACACTTGTAAATGAGTTTCCGATTTATTGTTATACACCCTCGTTCTTCAAGGCTATTTCCGTATGTAAAAGACTCATTACTCGTTCTTCAGATTTTATTTCTATGTTCAAGAACATAAGAAAAATAAGACTACAAACATTTTCAATGGTGAAAATCTTAATATATAATCACTTTCACCCACCAGGTAAATATTGATCGTACTGTCTTCACGAAAAATTTTTACTTTGACTTCATTGTATTAGTGACTAACAAATGACATCAATAGAAATTAGTTCTGCGGTTTTGTTAAAGAGTTTCAAGTACAACTAACTATTGTCAAATCTTTATTATTGCATAACATGCAAAATAGGCAAAAAATTATAAAATCATTCAATTTACACCGGAACATCGCAATTGAGCGGATGAGAGTAACCCGCATCCTGCCTTCTATGATTTTTTGTTTTTCCTCCAGCAAAATGGTTTTTCAAAATATGAAACTGGCACTCTGTCATCAAGAAATAAAAAACATCAGAAATCGCTGCCGGTTTCTACACAAAATGTGTAAATGTTCGTCAAAAATTTATTTATCCCCATTCTGCTCTGAAGATCGAGATACGTCTCTGATTTGTACACAGTGAATTCACAACAATTTGAATAAAAACAGAAATTTTTAGAGTTTTATAAGAATGGCCTATTATAACGGCTGAACATATTTGCATATATAGAACATTCAAAAAAGATACTAACAGGAACTGGATTGCTGAACGACGGTGTTGTGTTTTGTTATATAATCCACTATTTTGATAATTTACACAAAACACACATGATGTGCCCATGCTTAAGACAAAAGCGTGCTTCTTTTTTCTAATGTATCATGTTATTTGATCAATCAATCATTATCGAACTAAAAACTAAACATGAATTGAAATTGATGATTCAAGATCGAATTGTATTGAACATGGAAAACATAAATAGACGTGTACATTGGCGATTTTGAATATTGTACAACTTTCTTATTATGCTGAGCATGTTAATAAATGATAAGATATACTTACTGTATGTAAACTAGAAAAATATTTAGTCGAATAGCCTTTCTGAAAATATTCAGCCATTACAGAATGTAATGAAAGTATTTTATCGTCATTTTTTAACAGTTGTTTATTGAAGTTTCTAAATGTAAAATATTTAAGAGTAAAAGTAATGCAGAGAACGTTTTTACAATCACCTAAAGATGTATGACGCGAGAAGGTAACTTGACTAGTTATGTTTTTACTATTCAACGTCATCTTGATCAGGGTTCCCGATCGGGGAGAGAGGAGAAGGGGGTGTTGGCCTCTCTCTGAAAAAGTGTTTGGAGTTTCTAGCAAAATCTTTGACGTTTTATACTCGATCAAGAATCTTGATCGAGTATATTCACTATCAAATAAAACTGTAATAAATTACAAATATCTGATTCTTATACGCCGACATAGGAGATACAATCAATAATTTAAATAAGGTCTAAAAATAAACTCATTCAACAATTAAACATCCATAATTTTTGCTACATGTGTTTGATCAATATAATAAATTTCATTGAGTAAATAATCAATAAAATTGATATAAGCTATTTATTTCAATAAAATTGTCTGCCAATTTTGCGAATTGGCGAAGATTTTACACACAAACGATAAATCAGTTGGATGTCTACCACTATTATTTTCTATCAATATTCTGAACTGTTATCGTTCAAGTTTTTGAACAAGTTCAAGAAAAGAGCTCGAGAACAAATAAATCCATCGTACTGTATGTAAAATCGAATGCTTATTTTCCATTATCTAATGGAAAATTCATAATTATCTCATGTTTTCGACTAAACACACCGATCAGTCGTAAAATTGAAAAAAAATTTTCTAATTAAGAATTTTAAACGAGACTATTCTTCAAGCGAATAATAACTAACAATGGACTAGTAGTACAATATAGAAACATGTTGTCATACGAGTAAGATATATGTAAACTATTGTATAAAAAGAAAAGTATTCATAATATGATTAAGAACGCTACTATTTTGATTGAATTCTAATAATAATATTTGTACTGATAAAAGAAATAAACTGCTACAGATATTATCAATCGTATGTATTGAATTAATTTTCAAACCTACTCAGATCATGTATCGGCTTATTTCTTGCAATATGATATGTTGATCATTTGTGTAGTACATCACAAAAGCCTTCTGTGTTGTTTTTTTAAGAGTACACACAATATGATGAAGAACTTTTAAATGTAAGCAGAAATAAATGTTCACATACTGCTACTATCATTACACAGTTCAGGATAATTTGAAATATTAATATTAGAAGAAATGACGTTGTTCAAGAATATTCCAAAAAAAGTAAATAAAAATAATCATATGATATTTAATACCGCGAAAAAGTGAATGTAATAAAGATTTTTATTTTATTGCGGTTTATTACGTAATAATTTGAAATCAATCAGCGAACATGATCGTTTTATGCTGCTCTACCTTCATTATTCTATATGTATTTGTACTGAAGGATTCTTGTAATAAATAGACATATATGTTTAACAAGTTGAAACACTAAAGAAAAGTATTCCCCGATAGTTAAGTAAAAGAATATACACAGTGATTTGACTTTCTTAAATAAATTTATTTTCAAATAAAAATGCGAGAAAAAAAAATGATATAATACCATTGACAGATGAGAATTTTTTTTATGTTACAGTTTCTTGTCATCATGTTTAAAATTCAAATAACATGAATTTGTTTAATATAAAATGTTTATGATATGTCTGTTTTATTTCTTTATAAATAACGTTCACTAGTTTAAATAATCACATTAAAATGAACGTGAACACAATGATAAGATGAAACGCGTTCACATTTGTCTTCTTTTTCCACTTATATTATTTTTCAAATTGTAAGAACTAGGTAGATTAATAAAAGAAACGAAACGAAACAAGGACTTACCATAATGTTTATACAGATTTATTTATCTACACTTTAGTACATTTTAAAAATTTCAGATTAATAATCAATAGCTCTTATGAAAACACTAGATTAAGTAAGTGTGAGTTTGATTAAGCAGAAAATGTTAAATATCTCATTTTCTCAATTAATATTTATCACATGGTGTTTGTATTCAAAAAGACTGGGCACAAAATAGATCAAATTCAAATTGTATTTTTTCTTTCAATCTATCATATTAAATGTACAAATAGTTAAATAAAAAAAAAAAATAAAGACATTTAAAAAACAACAACAGATATTGTATATAGGTGGAGATATTCTTCCTCATCTATTATCACCTGAATAGCAGACACACAGTTCTATTTTGTAACAATTTATTTGAATATATGTCCATTATATATAAATCAAAAACCATTAACATTTTAGTAATGGTCAGACAAATCGAAACATCATATTTTCTCACAAAAACTGACTACATCCATATTATATTTAGAAACAGAATAAAATATAGATAGATGCACACATATTTTCTTTGAAATAATACAATTGTTTATTATACATATTATAAAACGGGAAGAAACACTAGAATGAAAACGATTAGTAAAAAGATATTGTTAGCTCATGACACTTGTGGCGTTCTCAGTTCGAATTTGAATCTGATACAGAAAAGAACATTGAAAATCATCTGTCTTTAAAGATCAACTAATAAAACCCGTAGTGCTACATTGCTGAGTAAAAAAACAATCTTGTACAACGTTCTATAAATTTATGCAATAAATAAACAATTGTTTTTAGAACAACTGCTTTTAGCGTAGTCTCTGATTACCGAACAAAAAGAAATGTTTTCTATCAAGGACGATAGACTTGTTTTTGACTGCGGTTTTTTTAATGACATTTTTAAAAAATAAAAAAAACCTACAAACGAAAACAGTATTAGTTTTAACGTAGGATTCAATAAAAGAAGAGGCAGAAGAGTGTTGAAGAGAATAAATAGTTTACCGTTGTTACAAAGAGCAACTTTTAGTTGTTGTTTTTTTTTCAAGAAGATATAGACCTAAAAACAGAAATAATAAAAAAAAGACAAACCTACACGTCGGACACATATATTTCTTTAATTGAATTTGGTCTATGTGTATCGAAAAGAAAACACTTAAACTATCATGTGTACAATGATTTCTACAGCTAAATATGACTATGACTAAAAAAATTTATGAATACTAAGCGATGTTTAAGTATAGGTATTTGAGTTAACCTTCAGGTCAGTTACTTAATATGTAGAGTATAACCTGTTATTCACTTAGATGAACAAAGCACAAAACTATTCTTTTTCTTCAATTTGTATACAGTGCCTTTATACATATATATGTATATGTATATACACATATAAATATGAATGGACAAAAAAAGAAAATATCTCCTTTTTCATAAAAAGGGAAACTTTTCTTGTCAATATCGTTTGATACAACAATTTTATATAAGAGAAAAAACTGCTGAGAAAAAAGTAGGTTGATGACTTATTTTTTTAATATATCAAATAAAATGATTTAATTACTTAAACAATTAGGAGTATGTATAAGTCAGTTAATAACATCTTATTTGTACCATTTATCATTAAACTTAAAACTATAGAAAAAAAATAAATAAATTCCATTTCTAATTTAATAATGTAGAACATTTTCAACTTTGACTAGAATCATTATTACTGTATCTAGATTTTTCATACAAATCGTATTTACATTTTGTCCATAAATCATATTAAATATTTCTTGTTCACTATTTTTTCCCCCGAAGTTAATTATTTATGTTTTATTTTTATTTTTATTAAATATAAGACTAATTATTTCGATTGGAATGTTGATGATGATTGGTGAACAACACAAATCTTTTTCAACAAAAGAAGAAAAACAGAGTAAAAGAAAGATTATATGAATACATTTTATGTATAACATTTCATATTCATACGATTTATTATTATTTAACAGAATGAAGAGAGAAGAAGTGAAGAAAAAAGTAAACCGTATATTCATTCAGATCAAAAGGAATGTTAAAAATGTATAAAAATAAAATACAGTAGAGTTGTGGAATAAAATAATTTTGTTTATTTATCATTTATCGCCACTTATCAGTTTATAATTATCGTTACATAATATAATTAGTGGTAGGTAAGCTCAGACTGTGAGAAAAACTATCAATATTTCTACAATCAAAAATTAACCAAGTAGGTGAACTAAAATATTTGAGATTACCAAGGAAATCTTGGATGCACATTTTAGTACTTCGAGAATATTTTTACTAAATTTTTTTGTTTTATTCTTATGTATCTTGACAGAGATATAAATATTCCAAACGTCTTAGAACAGAAACGAAACCGTTTTAAAAATTTTCTATCGGAACGGAATGGCCATTCTAAATTTTCTATTTTTTCATAATGAAAGACTAATTTTATTCAAAAATAGCTCAAAATGATACTGAATAAAAATCTTTTTTTGGGTGATCCTTCTAAAAAGTCTTATTGGAACGGAACGAAACGGCTTGGCCGTTCTCCATTCTCCATTCCCGGTTATAACTCTGTGTCTTGAGCGTATATGTTTTTATTGAAACACTATGTCAAAGCTGGTACAATGGTGATGTATAAACGATATAATGGATTTGTAAAACAACAAAACATAGAGGACATGCACAAAGAATAATATCAAACTGTACATTTTTCTTTTTGTCATTATTTTCTTTCTTTCATCAAGGTATATACATGTTTCATGTTGTTTCTTTGAAAAATTTTATTATCTAATTTTAGCGACGAGAATATATTAAAAAAAGCTCGAGAGCAAGAAAGCGAAAAACATTGTTGCCGGTCTTAGAGCAGAATTAGTGGACATGTCTCAGAATGAATCGGTTTTTGGACAAGAAAAAAGAAAAAAAAAAAGAGTCTCATCTAGAAGAGAAAATAATTATAATAATTTTTTTAATTAATAAAATGAATGATAATATCTTCTTTCTTCTGAAATCAAACAGTATTCGATAAAATATCTCCTTTAAAGGAATGTTATTAGTTTAAAAAACTGATTTTTGGTCATCAAAGACTTATGTGACTTTGCGAAAAAGGGACTTACGCATAAAAGTAGTCAATAACGAAAGTGAAAAGACAGTTATTAAACCAGTCCTATTTACAAAAAAGTTTTCCTGAACAGATTAGATTCGGATACACTGTGTAGATGAATCTATGAAACCAACATGATGTGTGTGTAAAGAATAACTACAATGTGCTATTTTGTTTTCTCGTTTCTATACGATGTGAAAACCGCATCACTTATCTGACTGTCATATGTTAGTAGTCCGAATAATTAGCAATTATTTATTCTTAATATTCTGTTTTTATACGTATCTTGTTTGCATTTTTTTTATACACAATAAAATGTTTCGGGCTTAAAATACGGTTCATTAAATTTTTTTCTCTAAGAGAGAAAAATAATTTTTTTCTAGTCAATATTTTTAAGCACGATTAAATATCGAGATTTTTGTGGTTATTGGTGTTGTTGCAGTGGTGATATTTGTTGATTTTTCTCGATCTCTTAAATACATACAAAAGTTATGTTGCTTCTGGTGATTCTGAGTTTTTATTTAATGAAAGATGTTTGTGTATTAAATATAATAAACAGAAAAACATTTGATTTATTCCTAATTTTTAGTATAACAACATTTTTTTGCAAGGTGTATGTATTTGTGTAATAAAATGTCTTTTTTGATAATTAATAACCTTCTTGTTGTTCTCTTTCTTTAGTTTGATGGCTGAAAATAAGCCATAAGATTTCTAGTACAAAAAAACTATGGATCCTGATTCATTAGATAATAATTATTCCCGTACACGAAATTTTTCAACTATGCAAGAAGAAAATCCAGAACAAACATCTGTAACTACTTCTAACTCAGGTATCATTCAAAATTCAAATAAATATACTAAAAAGTATGATTTTAATATGTTATTACTTCTTTCAGGTATACTAACTTCGAGATCAACAACAGGACAAGTATATTCAGGCAGTATAATGCGTACATCTCAAATGTCAGGATATACATCATCATCCCCGTCTTCCAGAACATCAACACCAATTATAACCACTGTTGATCAGAGTTTTTCATCACCAAAATCAAGAATTTATACATCGACAAAGGAATTGTATAATGAACAAACTCTTCATCATGCTTTACCAGCTAAACGTAGAGAAGTTAAATTTGAAGATATACAAACAACAACCGGTAATTTTTCACCAACAAATGATGAAGATCTCAATGTTTCAGAGACTACTTATAAATTTCCATCTCAGGAAAAAGAGCTAAAAGATGAGACAGAAACAACAAAGTATTATACTTCAACAATGAAATCTTCATCTCCAACAAGTCGAACGAAATTTGTTGATATTCCAACATATGAACATAATCAAAACACAAAAAACTATCAATTTGGAAAAAATCAATCTTCAGCGCATGTGACAACTCTTTTACAAAGTAGTGGTGGGAGCGTCGGTAACCGTGAACATTTTACAAGACGAGGAAATGAGAACGATGATTTAATTTCATCTTCAACGAATTTGGCAACTCAACAAGCAAAATCAAAGTTTATCGATGATTATATGACACATCAAATTGGTGAAAAGCGTGAATTAATAATACTGAATAGTCGTTTTGAAGATTATTTGAATAAAACAAAACGTTTAGTTCACTTAAATACTAATTTACGACGACAAGTCGATGATGCCTATAGACGTTATATGGGACGTACAACAGATTTTGATGAGGAAGTGGAAAAGGATATTAACTATAATGAGGACAATAGAGAGAATCGTGCACGAAAACGTTCTCCAAATGAAGGTGAAAAAGCGATACAACAGAAAAATTTTAATCATCCTCAAGATAAACAATTAATTAATTTGCGTAATAAAATCACCGATGAAGTTCGTCACCAAACATCAGTACAAATTCGTGTTCAACGTGCCGATCATGATATTAAATTTTATAAAAATGAAATTAAATGTTTAAATAATTGTGATTTAACAGAAAATAATAAATTAAATCAAATGAAACAAGAACTAGAACATAATGTGTACGAATTAGAACAATTGAAAAAACAATATGACAAACGTGAAGATGATTTAGAAAAGTTAAAACAATTATACGACGAATATATGAAGAAAATTGTTCATTTTACTGATGAATATGATACAATTACTTTTGAGAGAATGAAAAATGAAAATCAATTGTATAATCTTCAAGAACAAATTGCTTTTCAACAAGAATATCAGAATCGAATATATCAAGAATATGAACATTTAGAAAAATTTGAATCTGATTTTAATCAAGAATTTAACACAAAGGAATTACAAAATGTAGTCGAACAAATAAGGTATATTAACTCTTTGTAATGATATCTCTCAAATTTTAATCTTAGTTTCTAAAAACTTTTTTCATACTATTGATAAGTAAATGTCTAAATCTCAAATAGATTGTACTTATTGATGAAGATGTAGTGCATATCTTTACCAATCATTTTGATATATATAAAAGGAGAGATAATTTCGTATTTTATTATTAATACGTTTAAAAATAAGTATTCGATTTCTTCTATTTAGAAATAGAATATTTTCTACGCATCATTTTCTTGTAAAACCCGCTCACTGTCTATTATTCCATTTATATTTACGATCGAATACAAGTTGTAAACGATTACAGCAACTCTAGCTGTTTCATCTAAGAGATCTTTGTTTTACTTGTAGACATGATTATGAAGATTATAACCAGATAAGAATAGAAGAATTGGAAAATTTGTATAAAACAAGACTAAATGATATCAAAGAAGCATTTCAAAAACAAGAAGAATTGAAATCCATTAGTGGTTATGATTTAGAAAAATCTGTCAGACCAAAAGAATTTAAAATTATGTTGGATACAACAAAGGAACAGCATCGAAATTTACTTGAACAAAATTATGTGCTAAAAGAAAAATTAGGTAAGAGAATTATTCTCTCACTTTATTACTTAATTTACTATCTTCTGCTACAATTTGAGTAATAAATTTCTTTTTCTGAGCATTAAATTGTTTAATTTGTTAAATAACAAAAAGATACTGACTCTTGAATGACTTAAACATACCTAACAACTAAAAGCTTGGTAGTTTGGTAACGTCTGTAGCAAATACTAGCTAAAAACATTGCAATTTTTGTTTGTCTTTTGAAGAGAGGAACGTGGTAGTTTGTTTACAAAAGTATATTCATTTTTTCCATGTCATTTCTAAAAATGAAGCACGTTCTCTTAATTTCCTCGTCTTCTTTACTTACGAGGTTAAAATTCATCGCTTTCAAACTTAACGCATTTTTCTTACATTTTATATTCCAGAGCAATTGGAACAAGATCTACGAGGTATAATTGATAATAATAAGCGTGTATATGAGAGTTCCGATCTTGAATATCAACAATTACAAAATGAATTACCAGAATTAGAAAATATTATACTACGTTTGAGAGAGAATGCTGTTGGTCTATGGGCAGAAATAAACACTTATCGTTGTCTACTATTAAGTTTGCTATCACCATCTCATTCATCGTTAACTGGAAGCACAGAAATAACCGATGAATCGGTTCGAACACAAGTAGAACCGAAATATATACCATCAATTATAACGCCACCTCTACCAAAAGCGACACGAGAAGAGTTCACCGAGAAGTTCACTACTAAAAAATATCGTGCACCTATAGCAACATCGATATCTACTAGTAGTAAATCAATAATAGCACCATCAGCAACAACAATTAATACTGAAACTCAATATGATCAGCAAGAACGAAGTCAATCATCTGGAAAAATAATGTCTATCGATACTAGTGGAAAAACAAATATGGAAACACGACGAGAATTAATAACAGAAGAATCAGATAATACTGCAGTAATAAGTCATCCATATTCTTCTCCATCTCTTCCATTTCGATCGGCACATACACAACACATGAACACTGCAACAACGACAAATAGAGGTTCACATCAATATGATCAGCAAGAACAAAGCCATTCATCTGGAAAAATAATGTCTATCGATACTAGTGGAAAAACAAATATGGAAACACGACGGGAATTAACAACAAAAGAATCAGATGATACTGTAGTAATAAGTCATCCATATTCTTCTCCATCTCTTTCATCTCGATCGGCACAAGTAGAACACATGAATACTGCAACAACGACAAATAGAGGTTCATCTACCATCATATCTGTAGCTTATTCGACAGGAGGTCAAAAGTTTTCTCAACAGCAAGACTATCACCGACATTCGCCGAGTAATGTCATTCAGTTGGATGGTAGTGGAATGTCCATTTCTGAACAATCCTCCCATGTGGTAATACCGATGAGTATGGCAAAAAAAATAACAACGAGCAGTAGTAATGATAATACGGACTATCGAGATGTGACAATGGCCAGAAAAATATTGCCCTACTGTGAGCAATATCGTGACGAAGCAACAGGATTCATTGTTCACATCGAAGATGGTATTATATGGGTACGAATATAAAAGAAAATTGCAGGTAAATATTAATATGTTACCAAAGTTAACAATTTCTACACAAAAAAAGTCAAGCATCACTAAAGTTTAAAAACAATTATAGCGGCATTATCTGCTAAAATCCGCCGTTCTTTTAAGACGGAATGACTCAATTAATAAGCCCTGGAGACTAATGTATTGAATTAAACTTCATATGATGTATTCATCGACTTTGAGGAACATATGATTTTTTTTTAATATTTGTGGAAATTAGGCTTAATTATTTCCAAAAAAATAGGTTTTCACAAAATTTTTCAAGCTTTCTCAAAAAAATAAACATTGTTACAAGATTCAACATACTCGATTACCTATATTACAATCATTTTTGATCTTCCTAAAAGTCAACAGTCAGTTCTGAACTTTGAATTTTGATATAGATAGTAATTTAGTAAGGGAAGATCATTTCACTTTGTTTTATAGAAGAGTAAAGAATTTACAATTCAGATTTATATTTCATAACAATGTTTATGTATCTTCTACTGTCTAAAGAATCAAACGACACTCACAAAGGATGATATTAACATTAATTTAAATAGAAATAGAAACAAATTGTTTCTATATCAATCGTACTACGCAATTTTTATCGTTTAATATACAAGAACACATTCAATCAATTAAGGACGATTGTGTTCTTGAATATCTCTATGTATGTTCTAACTCACACAATTAGAGAAGATAATAGATAGCCATTAACGTCATCATATTGTCTTATCTCTTTCTAGGATAGAACTGAACACAATTGTATCTTCTCTTAGTATTTTTTATTTTTAATTTAACAATGACAATAAAATTATGTATTGCTTTTTGTTTTTATTCTAATTACTATTAAACATGATAAGTTTGTTGTTATTTTTGTCGATTAAAATAATATTTTCTTGTTTCTTGCTACGTAAACATGCTTTATTTTTTTTGCTGTTTTTAGCTTTGTAAAAGAAAAACATTTGAAATAAGCATTTTTTTTTTCCTTTTTGCTTGTGTAGATGTATACGTATAATTTAAACAAAAAAAATATATTGTTAAAAAATAAAAAAACTGAGTTTACCCATTCTATTTAACATCTAAATGCATTTAATCCAACCATTTCATCTATTCTTCTACCCTAGTGTAATGTGAAAAAGATTATCCGCATAAAATTTTTCGTTGTACAATTATGAATGGTAACAATTCAAGATCATAGTGTTGTATTGAATCTTATATAGCTTGGTGAAGAAGCTTAAGGTTTTTTCGTTATGGATATCAGTCTAAACATAATAAAAGAAGCAGAATATCAAGCGAAGTTTTTTTGGTTTTATTTCACTCTGACCAACATCAAATTCTAAAACAAAAGGAAAAATATTTTTTATGTGATACGAAATTGACAGTTCGAATTGTACTGTCATGAACTATATGACTTACTAGACAATACATTCATAATTAATGCATTCAAAATTCCATGTTGTAAGTGATCATGCTTGAAATACGACTAGTAGCGGCATGTCTTCTGAATAGCAGTTTTATTGCTAGTGAAACATTTAATATCAATTTAAATTTATCATGCAGTTTGAAAATGTAATCGTCTAAACAGTGATGACCTCACAATTCTGATGAAGCAAAACAGTAAATATATTTTGTTTTCTTTGTTAGTTCTCTTCAATATCATAACATTTTTCTTCTTTCGATAAGCACATGATCTTCTATTAAGAAGGAAATTACTATCAGAATAAATATACTTTAGAACACATCGTTCATTAGTATTTCAAATTTTGTATTTTATTGTAAACATACAACTCAAAAACAAACACATGTACTATTTGTTTTAACCATTTTTCTTTTCTCATTTCCACGTATACAAAGAAAAACATGCATAGAAAGAAAAACAAGGACAAAAAATAGCACTCTATCTGTTGTTGTTTGACTATCTCTCATCATTATGACCATTGACTCTATTCCGAGTCATCAAATTGGATTGAGTATATTTGTGTGTCAATTTTTCCGCCGCGATATGAACCACGTTTCTTTTTCGTTTTTTCATGACGAAAACTTTTACCACGAGTATTAATGAGATCCTGACTAGCTTTTTCACCCCAAGAACCACGAGCACCATGCTAAAGATAAGAAAAACATTTTAGCACATTTTAGCAAAACAAACAAACTAAATATTCAACCGATAACTCGTACTTTGTTATCAAATGAATTTTTTCCAACAAGTTTCAAATATTCCGGATCAGCGTCCTCATCTTTTACACGACGAAATGGCGATGTCTTTCTCTATAAGATAAAACATTAAACATCTATCAACGAAAAATCTAGTTCCAGATCATCAATACATACCTGCGTTCCGTTTGAAGGTCTTTCCTCCCGGTTATTCTATTCAAACAAAATATAAAAAACGTTATCATTAAATAAGAAATCTAAATGTTAACTTACAGTTTCATCATCAGCACCATTTTGGTGTTCCACAGTTTCTAGACAAAAACAACACAATAGATCAGAGATAATTAAACATATTACATTGAAAACAAAATTATAATACACTGCTCCTAACAAACAACATCGTGGTGGATGAACAGGTATGATATACATATTAAATCTTTACCTTTATTTCCTTGTTTCATCAATTTTATTCTCTTTTTGTCGTCTTCCGACGATTCACTATCACTACTGCTTGATTTCGACGTTTTGGTGGTGGTAGGAGTAGCAACAGCTTTTGTCGGTTGTGATTGAACTGGTGTTACTGGTTTACTCAGTAGTTT